TATGCCAGTATGAAAAAATAGCTGCCGTACTACTTAGGCAGTTAAAAGAACAGCTAAGGTCAGTTATGTGAATAATTCATCACAATTTAAGCTACCAATCAGATTTAGGTTACCGTCCTACCCTATATGTATTTCAAACTTAGGTTCCTTCCATCATAGTGAAATTCTAACTACACAGCTTTAAAATATATCATTCCCCACTTGAAGGATATTTTGAAAACCTCCATAAAAAGGTAACTGGTACCTATCAATGATTATAAAATCATTTCTAAAACTCTGCCACTGATTCAAAGTTAGAAATATGAGATAATGGAGAATCTTTCTAAAGCTGACTCTCCTGTTTAAAAAAATCACTTCAAAATCATATGAATTCCAGAACCAAACACAGGGATTTGCAAGACTCTCCCTTACTTAAGTAATGATCTCACCATCAGAACATCATTAGGTAAAAATGGAACTTACAAGAAGAATAAAATGGGAGCTATTGATTTCTAAAAGCAACATTGATGCTTGTCTCATGTTTTATCAAAAAGGGAAAAGCAGACATTAAAACACTGAATACGAGTGGGACTTATTGTCAAGCAATAAAGTAGCTCAAGATAGTCTAGGAATGCTTTGATGTCTCAGAATCTGAATTACTTGCCAAAGAATGAATTCTTCTTTATATCAGAGAATTTTAATCCATCCATCAACTAAAACCAGAGCACAAGCAGATTGTGTAGGAGGACAATGATTTCTAATATACAATCAAGTTTATAAGAAAAAGGTTGGAGAGTGAAATCAGAATTTTGGAGTAGGTATTATTATCTCATCCCAGAAATATTGTGGCATGTCCTGAAACAAGTTCATGCTAGAAAACACTTTGCTTTGCTGAAGCTGTTTATTATGGACAAATGGGCCAGAAATCCTATACACTACATGAGACTGGTTATCTACTGTAGGAAGCATTTATTTAGTTGCAGTTACTACAGCTAACACTGATGCAACCACTTAATTACAATAATCTAAGAGTCAATACTTTTTCACATTGCCATACCACATGCCACATGATTTGGTTCAACAAATCAATGAGACAAGCAAAAGACTTTATCTGCCTAGAGAAATTTTGATAGTTATTATCGCTGTTTATATTCCATTTGATGCTAATGTTGGCATAGTGCTAAGCTACATGATGTCATTTCGAGGCAGTAGCAAACTCAACCTGAGGGTGCTTTTGTTGTGGCTGGAGACTGTCCTCCCTGTATGTGCAGTATGTGCAATGTCCCACCAGAGGGAAGAATGTTTTTAGACCATATGTATTCAAACTTAAAACAGGCATATACAGCAATTCCCCTCCCCCACCTGAGCGTGTCCAACCATCTCTCTCTGCTGCTGGGCCCAAAGTATATCCCCTCCCTTAGGAAAAGAATACAGCCAGTCATGAAAACTGTCAAAATCTGTCCGGAGGGAGCACTCAGACAGTTACAGGATTGTTTTAAAACCACTGAGTGGAGTATATTTGAACATCTAGAACTGCACGAATATATTGACACTGTACTCTCATATATTAAAACATGCACAGATAATTTAACAGTGGATAAGCGCATCAGAGCAGGGGTGGAATTCTACCAGTTTGGACCTCTTTGGGCAACCTCTTGCTCCAAAGATCAGCTGGCAGCGAACTGGTTTGCTGCAACAAGCATATGCCCCCCCCCCCCCCTGCTCTTTCCTGTGCTTTATTCCTTTTTGTGAGAGCATGGCTGGTTTGCATGGCAGAGCAGTTTGCCACGCCTCAGCTGTTTTAGTCACAAGGACTGCAGAAAAAGGTAACTATAAAATGTTTTTGAAATGTGGAGTGTGCATGCAAAGTGCGCAATCACCGAAGCAGTTGTTATACTGGTGGAATCTGACCCCTGCATCAGAGTCTACAGGAATTGTAAACCCTGGATGTCAGCAGAGGTACAGATAGTTCTGAGAGCCCTGAATTCCCCTTTCAAGGCAGGTAACAGATAAATATGAGGCCACGAGAAATCTGAGAGGCATTAAGGCAGCTAAACAGAGATATAAACAAAAGGTGAACCATCTAGCAGACAACCTGAGGCAGATGTGGCAGGCACTGCATCACCCAACCAACTACATGGGCAACACAATGAAGACAGTTAACACTGATGCCTCGTTGGTGGAGTTGAACATCTTCACCCACTATGAGGTCAAAAGACCTGACCCTGTGTTGCCAGCCCACCAACTTCCAGCCACTCAGCCTGCATGAACACAGAGAGCTGTATTGAAGGCTGTGAATCTAATAAAGCTGCAGGTCCAAATGGGGTGCTAGGCAAAGTGGTAAAAACCTGCGCAGACCAATTATCAGAGGTCCTAACAAGGATTTTTAATATCTCCCTCCAAATGGTCACTGTTCCATCATGTCTGAAAGCAGCTACCATACTAGTCCCGAAGAAAACAGCCATAAATAGCCTGAATGACTACAGACCTGTTGCATGATGTCTGTAGTGAAATGCTTTGAGAGACTGGTTTTTCAACACTTCAGGTCATGCCTTCCATCAAACTTTGATCAAGATCAGTTTGCCTAGAGGAAACAGTTCAAAAGGCGATGCCATTACCACTGCCCTACATAATATTTTGAGACACCTAGAAAAACCTGGGAACTAGCTCTTCATAGACTATAGCTCGTCTTTTATCACCATTTTGCCAGGCATTCTTATTGAAAAGTTGACTGAGTTGAATTTCCCTCTCCTCATTTGTAATTGGATTAGACTTTTTGACAGACTGTCCATAAAAGTGAAGGCTGGATCCTTTACACCCTCCTCCCTGAAGCTCAGCACTGGCTTTCCTCAGGACTGTGTGCTAAGTCCCTAACTGTACTTGCTGTTCACACGACTGCATATCTTCTGATCCATCTAATATGATAATAAAGTTTGAAGATGATATCACCGTGCTGGGTCTTATTACAGAAGGGAGAGTCAGCATACAGGGAATAAGTCCAGAAGTTATCTACATGGTACAAAGAAAACAACTTGCATCTCAACACAAAGACAAAGGAGATGGTGTTGGACTTTCGGAAGCAGAGAAATGACCCTGTCCCACTTTGCATCAAGGGGGGGCTGTGTGGAAAGGATCTCTTCTTTCAAATTCCTGGGAGTGCACTTAGCCAAGATCTCACCTGGAAAAATAACACGTCCCAGGTAGTTAGAAACGGCAGACACTGCCGACAGCAGACACTCCATTTCCTGAGGGTCTTGCGGAAAAATCAGGGCGAACAACCGCTGATGACTTCCTTCTACTGGTCCATGATAGAAAGCACCTTCACATAATCATGATATGGTACACTGGCTAACAGTTGCTGACAGGAAGGCACTACAGAGGGTGATGAGCATAGCACGAAAAATCATGGGCTGCCCCCTAACCCTACTGAATGAAATTGCCAGGTCCCACTGTCTCAGCAGAGTGAGGAAAATCCTAAGGGGAGACTTGCATCCTAGACAGCATTTCTTTATTCTCCTACCACCAGGCAGGAGACATAGAAGCATAGCCAGCCGGACAAATAGGATGAAAAATAGCTTTTATCCATGGGCCGTCAGACTACTAAATGTAACACCACCACAATCAGGCTTAATATGATAGCCTTACAATCCCAGTATGTAATATTATATATATTATAATATAATTAATGTATAGGGAAATGTGTGCTAATTTATTAATTATTTGGGGTTAGGGATTTTTTTTATTTATTGGTTTATTGACATGTATTCTGTGTTCATGGGTGGGCTGCACCAAGGGAGGCTAATTCAATTTCATTGTACACATGTTGTGCATTGACAATAAAGGTTTGAACTTGTATGAAACTCCAACAATATTAAGTGGTGAAGATAGAACTATAAGATCTGGAAGGAAGTGAATACTGGACAGAACTGAGACTGTATGGCCTATTCCAGCACATTTTCATTTATAGTGCTGCTGGCACATCTTGAAATAAAAATAATGTGCCTTTCTCATCAGAAAAAAATAAGCAGAAGCAAGATTTGTGACTAATCAAGAAAAGTTAGAAATAAAATGCAACTGAACAAGAATAGCTGGAAGAATAGTGGTCCCATTATGTTTTACCTATGTTGTTGACTTGCTCATCTTCTGATTAAAATCCTAACAGATAAACATAGCAGAAAAAAAGGAAAAAACAAACATGAAAGGTTGTAGAATGTTTCAACAAAATTAGAATATCAATTTGTTTCACCCACTTTTAAGTATACTCCTGTACTTCTTTTAATAGATGAATGAGTAAAATATTAAAATCAGTAATTTAGTCTGAATATTTCTCAGTGAATTCTGAACTGAGATTAAACATCTAAATAATACTACGAGGGAGCTTGGGCCATATTATACTGAGTTGGTAACTAGAATTCTTCATTAGTTTTTAAATACAATACAAATAAGAGAGAAGTGTATGTCAGTGTATCCTTTACAGGATAAATTTCATTAGTATTAAAAGCAGAGTTTAAATAGTATAAAACATTTTCCAGTTTGTTCCAAATTATTCAATTTGTATCTAATTATAATGTAGCATAAGCACACTAAATTAGCTTATGTTTATGGAAGAAATCATAGCAAGAGAAAATGTATAAGCAAGTCATAATCAAATTGATAATTCTTAACATAGAAAGGACAATACTTTCAGAATTAGTTTTGAATAAATGGTGATTGAGGTCCTTAACAGCATTTTTTGAAGCCACAAGGTAATAAATAAAAAATAGCAGCCAGCCATTTAACAACAAAAACTTGATTTAACTTTATTTATCCCTATAGTCAACAACGGGTTTGCATTGAGTTGTAAAGCAACAAAATAATATAATCTCAGTGACAAAGGCTCAGAAATCCCGATTTTGTGAAAATGTTGCTACTGCATTATTTATTTATAACCTATTTAATCCAAAAGGAAAAAAAATACAAATAAAAATTATACATCTGTAATGTCAGCAGTAACTTTCTCACTAATCAAATGATATTTTGGGGGGAGGTACATACTATTCTGCTTTACACCAACAAAGATGGCATAAGCTGTTTTTTAAAATCAAAATTATATCCTGTGGCCGTCAATGAATCCTATCCCATGTACATGTTTAATAAAATAACAAATAATGTTCAAGTTTGTATAGTTGGAAATTGAACATGTTCAGTCTCCATTTATGATTTAGTGCACTTGATAAAATCTTTTTCAGAAACTATAAAAGATAGCGCATATGCAAAGCAGAAGTTCCATGAACTGAAGCACTAAATAAAAATATGGAGAAACTCAACCCCATGAAAGACAGGTAAGCAGGCAGACTTATAAACCTTCTGCCTGTAAATAAATGTAGGAAACAAGTTTGGATACTTGTCAATTTTTCCCCCAACAGGCCAAAATATTGTATAATATAAACTTCTGATTAAACAAGGTTTTGAGAACACCAAGTGCTATGGTGCTCAATAGCATTCATTACTGTCGTATCAGATATAAGGTTCAAATGTAGCCCTTGTATTTATCTCTTCTATGAAAAATCTATCATCTTGAAGGGCAGCAAGATCACTTCTTCTCAAAATAAATGGCCTCATGTAAGCACCTAATCTGTGCCATGATTAGTGAAATTGCAGCTAGATATATAGTCCTGAACACAACATACAGCAACAATGAGTGTTGTTTCATAAAATAAATATATCAAAGCTGTTCTACTATCTGAAATGTCAAAATACCCACATTATTGCAAGCATCACAATTAGGATAGCCAAATCCCAGATGAGATATTGCTGTTCAACAGAAGATTAAAAAACTGACAAGTATGCATGTGCCAAGGACCGAATTAAAGGGCTCTTTGGTGCAATCGGTTCAAATTCAATTAATATGAAGGATAATATGTACCCATTTTTAAAAATCTGCTGCTAAGACAACAGCCCTGTCTTGCTCCACAATACAAATCTAAAACAGCTGTTCTTAATAAGCTAAAATTTAAGTCAGACATTGCCTGAAAGTTTTGTACAATAATCTGGACCAAAGATGGTTCTGTACCCTCATGTTGCTGTGAAACATGACTTGAGCTAAAGGCAAAGACTGGTTATCTCAAGGACAACTGCTTCAATATTAGCAATCAGTACAGTGTTTTTAAACTGTCTTCCTGTTGGGTCTCTTGCCTTTCTTTAAAATTAGTTTATTCTTAATGTAGCCACGCTTCCTTTTGGCAGTCTAAAAAGAAAAACAGAATAGTGTATTAGTTATTTGTAATGCTCTAGCGGCAATGCTTATGTTTTTGTATTGCTCCAGAATCCTTAATTATTATGTTTTAAGTCAAGGTTAGAAAGATAGGAAGTAGCATATGCAGGTACTTTTGGATGTGATCTTTCCAGTTCTGACATGTAGCATGTTCCCTAAATCTCTCACCACAAATTTGTGTTATTCTATGTGTGTTCTTCTTTAGTCATTGTCGCTGTTTTCAATCAAATCTAAGCTTTTAGGTTCAGAATACACTTATTTGCAGCAAATACTGCCAATTAATTTAAATAACAGCTATTTAGTATATTGTCCTGTAACAAGGAAAAATATTTCTTGATACTGTTTGCTTTCTGCTAATGCCACCATACTTTTAGCATTCAATACAAGAAGTATTATTCCAAAAACTGAAGTCATAAACTTCTAATTTCTTTAAAAGTGTTATCGTGGTTATAATGTAAAAATAATGCTGTAAGGTTTACATTTTAATTTCTATGGACTATAGAAAAAAACAGTTCTACCATGCTGCAGTTATTTCTAAAATACAGTGGGATGCAATGTTCATTTTTACAACTGTAATTAATTATTTCACACATTAACTATTTAAAGTTGATATTATATATCATTCAGCTTTGTTCGGGTATTTTCCCACGTCATTGTAGTTGTGCTTTTAAAGTTGTAGCAACGTTTCAGCAGAATCTCATCTGCCATCATCAGGCTTCTCTACAGATATCTATCTATCTATCTATCTATCTATCTATCTATCTATCTATCTATCTATCTATCTATGCATGCTTTATATATAAATAATAGTTGCTTGAATGTTTACGATAGACTACTTTCATATTAAAAAAAAAATCAGGTAAAACTTTTCTGTTTGAAGAGAATTTGATTTTCATTCCTGAAGACTTGATTGTCCAATAGACTAGATGACCACACGATGGGGGAAAATGTATTCAAATGAGATGATTTTAAAACAGGAAAAAGCAGACACTTGAGCTGTCAACAAGTTCAGGTTTAATTATTTTACAAAATAAGTCATTCTGAAATGTCTTAAGCATCATTTTTCAGAAAGACATTTTCACATTTACTAAGTGAACCAACATAATAACTGGAACACTATTAATATACTTTAGATAATCAATCTTATTACACTTAGCTGGGATTTTATGGGCACAGTCTGCTAATGAGCACAAATAATAAATATAATCCCACATGCTTTATTAATCAAATGTTAACAATTATTATTTTGGCTGTTCTTTTATTGGAAACAAAAGTGTCCATTTATGTGGCTGATAGAAAGACCCAATAGCGTATCTGGTAAAACTAGCATAGTATTAAAAATTTCCTTTGAAAATTTCACTAAGAACCCACCTTTTTTGACAAATACTTCTGTTTTGGTAAAATGTTGGTTAGTCTAGGCTTATGGTCCAACGTTTCTCTGTTATCTAACTTTTTTACTTTATATATTCTAACAAGCCAGTGCTCTGAAGTAAAGGCTTCTTCCAAATGTTTAAACTTAATGTCCTTGTTGCCAATTTCAGCATTGCGGGTTCGATCAAATCCTGGGGGAGTCCGAAAATCCAGCTACAAAATTAACGCAACCCATTAGTTTGCAGGTATATTAAATTCTAGACAAACTACAAAGGTTATATTGAAAATATTGGTAATGGATTTGAAAATGTTATTTTTAATCTGAAACAGATCATGTTAAAGAGGCCTTACTTTTACTCCACACAGTGAAGAAGTCCAGCATTGTACTATATAAATTAAACATGAGATAAGTAACCAATTCAGTACAAAAAAGGAGAAAATATCAAGAATTTCAACAATATCCCTCCCCTCGTAGAAGGATCTTGATTTTCTATTTCAAATTGTGGCTAAATAAACCACATAAACTAATAATTGTAATATATAAATGCAGATCATGCATTGCCACTAAGAATGCTTTTGAAATAAAATTAAATGCTGCTCCTTTAAAAGATTCCAGTGAGTAAAATGCCAATATGACCTTTTAAATAGTTTCTATTTGCTAAACCTTAGTTGACAAGGAAATATAAAGGCACAGTGGAATTTTGAAATGTACAACCATTAAAGAAGACAACTACATTAAATTAATACAACAAATAAAGACAGACTTGGAAAAATTGAGAATTCTACAGTTGTTGTTGGTCGGAAGGATTGCCACAACAAAAATGAATATCCTACTGAAATTGCTATTTTTATTTCAAGCAATTCTGATAAAACTAGAAAAAAACCTTTTTAAGGATTTAAACAAATAGATTTTAAAGTTTGTCTGGCAGGGTAAAAAAGCAAGAATCAAACAGAAAATGTTACAAGACACCAAAAATAAGGGTGTGTGTGTGTGTTTGGATTACAGGATTGGCAGCTGTATTATCAGGCGTCAGCACTCACATGGGTAAAAGAGTGGATAAATTTGAAGAACAAAAGAATATTGACTTTATAATTGGAGTGGCATGCATTTATATGGTATGGGAAAAGTAAAATACAGAGATATTTTCAAAGGCACTATATCAAGAATGCTCTGCTTTCAGTAAGGGGAAGAATCAAACAGAAACATTACATGAAAATATTGGTCTGGCTATCCATGATGGAAGCACTAATACATCCAAGTGCTCTTGAACTGGAAAAAATTGTAAGGTATAAAGATATCCTAAACGAACAAGGGATTTAAAATCAAAACAGGAACTAAAAACCAAGGAATAGATTTGGCCTGGTGGCCACATATTCAAATACAAACAAGACACAAGAAAGATTCAGAAATATATGGATTCTATAAAGAACCTCTAGAATTAGATCAGATATTTCTAGGGATAGATAATAAATTAATAAAGAAAATATATAACTACTTATTGAACTTTTAAATGGAAGAACATGTAAAAGAAACTATGATAGAATGGGCCAAAATTTTGGATATATTATAAAATTAGACAATTGGCAAAAACTTTGGGAAAGCAACTACAAACTAATGATGTCAACAACATATAAAGAAAACCTTTACAAAATGTTCTACTGATGGCATTTATCACCAGCAAGAATGGCAAAGATGTTCCAAAACATATCACCAGAATGCTGGAAATGTAAACAGATTCTGGGTTCCTTTTACCATATGTGGTGGACTTTGTCCAATGGCAAAAAAATAAAGGTGGTTAGAATGACAATACAACAAATAGATTTAAAACCAGAATTGTTCTTACTAGGTATACCACCGGGAAAATATAACAAAAGAATTACTTATTTAATATTACATGTAATAACTGGAGTGAGAATTATGTACACACAAAATTGGAAAAATGAAAATATACCTATAGATGAAAATGTAGTAAGGAAAATACTAGACTGTGCCAAAATGGACAGGTTAATGATGAAAATTAAGGATAAAGAGGAAACAGGGTACTATTTAACCTATTTTATAAATGGTTAGAAAATAGAAGCAGAAGTTAATAAATTTATAATTAAGGATGATCAATTACACACACACACACACACGCACGCACGCACACAATAATACCATAAGCAATATTATAACTGGATTATATATGATTATAGATTAAATTGTATAGGGCGATTAGAAGTGAAGAATAATGGTTATAATTATGGTGTGTATAATATTATGTGTATTCAAAAGAGATTTGATACAGACAGTACACTGCCATTGCAGAAATGGAAACATTATGCATAACAAAGGAAAATGTACAACAACAACAACAACAACAATAATAATAATAATAATAATAATAGCAACAACGTAGGACTAACCTGCATTTCTCCAAATCTGTAATATGACATTTTATACATAAGACAGTTCAGCAAAGTTGGAGATCCTGCTTTATCAACTCTAAACTCTCCTTGTGGAGTGAAATAGTCACTTTCCTTTAAGAAAAAGAAGGAGTTGAAGAAGTCAGATTAGAAAAATAGGACAAAACAGAATTAAAATTACAATAATCAGTTATTGTAAACAAGTAATTGCTAAAAAACCCAGAGTGATTCAGAGTAGTTCTAATTTTTTCATAGAGATTGTATTCGTATTCTATGAAGCATACAATGATGAGGAATGTACAAGTAGTTTTCCACAAGACCATAATGCAGCTGTTCACCACGGTTCTAAGTCATAGCAATCATAAATCAAATCACTTATGTGGCCAATCTGATTTTATGACTTTTTCCCCAATGATCATTGGAAAAGTGATCCAGTGAATGCAGTGATTGTTAAAAGAACCAATGGGGCGTTATGAGCCAAAACCCAGAAATAAATACCAGTTTTTGGTACAGATTTCATAAGATATGGTCATATGATCCTTGGATGCTGCAAAGAGCCATAAATACGGCTGCTTGCCAAGCACCCACATGTTGTCACAAAATGGATCATATTTCGCCCCAGAGGTTTGTTGCAACTTTGAAAATTTGCTAATTAATTAATTGTCAATCAAGGATGATTTCTATAGTGTTTCTATATAGTGCTCTATAGAGCAGACAGAATTGCAGAAACATCTGGTAAAAAGAAAGGAGAAGGCTTATGTTTTTATATATAACTATACTAAAGAAATTCTGTGATGTGGCTCACCCCAGTGACTTGCTGCACCGCTCCGCTTGACTTGTTTGGGCAGGTCCCTCCAGTGCAGTGGGCTCAATGGGGTGGACCTGCAGGGCTGGCACCTAGAACATGGTAGTGGCTGCATGTTTGAAAAGTAGAGCAAAGCCAGAACTGGCTTTGCTCTACTTTCCCAACCTGCCTGCGGGGCCGGTGCCTCCTTTCTCCCACACTTCTCCCCTTTCCTTCCCTTTCTCTTTTTCTCACTTGCTCTATTTTTTTCTATTTTACACCATGATAAAATAATAATAAAGAAATAATGAAGAAAAACTATTAGAAAAATGACCCGTGTTTTAGCAGTGCTTCATATTCCACAGCCGAGATACACAAATTTCTGAGGGAAAAAAAGTTCATCGCAACTCCACTTCCATGTCCACATTTTTATATTGGCAATTTCTCCCCAAAAATGTTGCTTTGTATATTTTTTTCTGATGAAAGTATCGATTGTTGCGCTTTGAAATGATGGGCAGATGTTGAAATTGTCCTAAGGAGCGGAAAATGGAGGAGAAACAGCCAAACTGTTTTGCAAGGAAAAGTGGGATCCCGAGCCACAGAAACAGAGGGGGAGATGCCTTCCCACTGGGGGCTGAGGGAGGGGGGATCGGAAGGAGTTCTTCAAGCGAGAGGGAAGCGGGTTTCAAGGATGGAAAAAGCCGAGAGATCCCTATGGAAATCCCCCCTTAAGGGGATGGGGCCTGGGGAGAGGATCCGGCCAGATTATGGGGGATCCCTGCAGATCCTCTCCATCTCTTCCTGCATGGACTGTCAGCTGAGGGTTTTCCTGGCTTTCTTTGGATTGGGGTGAGTGTGGGGGCCCCAAGTCCTGGCTGGCTGTGTGGCTGTGCCTCCCCCCCTGTCCTTTGGTGCAGCTGCTGGGGGCTCCCTCCCTCCAGATTGAGTAGGGGGGCAGAATGGAAGGACCACTTGAGCTCTGGCTCCACTTTGCCCTTCTGGAGTCTCAGCAGCTCCAGCCTGGGTGCCCTCTGGGCATTGTGGGAATTCAAAGGGCATCTAGTCCGCCCTCCAGGTGCACAGAGAAAGGGAGATTGGATGAGAATCGGGGGGGGGCACAAAAGGAAGTCCACTCTCCCCTCTGGAGCTGGTATGAAAGACCCCCCCCCAGAATGCAGCACCCCAAGACTGAAAAGATCCCCTTCCCACTTTCTCTGCTTCTCTCTCTGCTTAGAACTCCCTCCTCCACCATGTGAAGTCAAGGGAGACTCTGCCCAGAGACTGATGACACTGGAGCAGGGATAATTCCCATTGGTGCTTCAGCTCGTTTTGGCCCCTCCTAGCTCAAAACTCCGAGAAAAATGTTTCCTCCCCCTCGAACACACATTCCTCCTCTGACACACACACATAAACATACATGTTCATTTCATGGGTAGATTCTGCCGTGGGAAGAGCTGCTGCACTGGACGAGAAGGGGGGAGAGAGAGGTAGCCATCTGCGCGCCACCTGTTTCCTCCCCCCTTGGAGGCTGCCAGACAGAGTGCCAGCGATCCCCTGCTGTCTCTTAGGCCCCCCTGCCGCCCCCTTGCCTCTTAGTGCCTCCCTAAGGCATCCCACCGTCCTGCACGGGGCGGTACCACCACTTTGGGAACCACTGCCTTAGACCATTGCTACACAACATTAAGAGATGCTTATCGGTCTTTTCCACGAGCAGCTGTGGGACACTCTGATTATTGTATGATTCACCTTGTACCTGCTTACAGACAAGATCATGAAACCAACTATTAAAACAATGAAGACTTGGACTGAGGAAGAAAGCTAAAGTTACAGGCTTGTCTTGAATGCACTGATCGGAATGTGTTCGAAGATACCTCTGCAGACTTGGATGAACTCACAGATACTGTAACATCATGTCAATTTTTGTTAAGACCTAGGTGTGCCGACTAGAAACTTGACAATATACAGTAACAATAAACCTTGGTTCACAGCTAAACTTAAGCAGCTACATTGTACCAAAAAGGAAGCCTACAGAAAAAGCAATAGAATACAGTACAATAAGGCCAGGGAGATTAGAGCAGCGAAAATAAGCTACTCTGAAAAGCTAAGGAATCAGTTCTCAACAAATGAGCCAGCAAACACGTGAAAAACTCTAAAAAATATCACTGGTTACAGCAAACCTTCTTCCCATGCTGAAGGAAATCAACAAATGGCGGATGACCTGAATGTGTTTTACTGTAGGGTTGAGAGAAAATTACTGCCATCCATCTCTACAATCCCCATCTCAGACACACCAACAACAGTAAAGCCTCCTGCAACCTACCCCATTCCATTGGGCCCACCACCTTTGGTGATTACAGAGAATGAAGTGCAAGGTCTATTTCACAGACAAAAGTCAGGAAAATCACCGGGCACAAACAAGATAACTCCCTCTTGCTTAAAAGCTTGTGCTGATCAATTGACCCCCATCTTCACCCGAATCTTTAATAAATCACTAGAGATGTGCTATGTTCCTTCTTGCTTCAAATGCTCTACTATCATCCCAGTGCCAAAGTAACCTTCCATCAAGGAACTGAATGACTTCAGACTGGTTGCTCTAACATCTGTGGTTATGAAAACCATTAAAAGGCTAGTACTGTCCCACCTAAAAGCCATCATGGACCTGCTGCTAGACCCCCTGCAATTTACCTACCAAGCAAATAGATCGACAGATGATGCTGTTAATATGATTCTGCACTACATCCTACAACATCTTGAATCTCCAATGACCTATGCAAGGGTCCTCTTTGTAGACTTCAGCTCAGCATTCAATGCCATCATTCCAGATATTCTTCTAAGTAAATTAAATCAGCTATCTGTACCTGACCACACTTGTAAATGGATCATAAACTTCCTAACTGACAGGAAGCAGCAGGTGAAGCTAGGCAAAATCACATCAGATGCTTGTACAATTAGCACAGGAGCTCCCCCAGGGCTGTGTGCTCTCTCCACTTCTCTTCTCACTATATACCAATGATTGAATCTCAAAACATCCCTCTGTTAAAGTACGGAAGTTTGCAGATGACACAACAGTGATTGGTCTCATTTGAGACAACGATGAATCTGCAAACAGATGGGAAGTTGAACAACTAGCCTTGTGGTGTAACCAGCAATATTGAACTAAATACACTCAAAATCATAAAAAGGGTGGTAGATTTTAGGAGCAACCCTCCTATACTACAACCTCTTACAATACTAGACAATACAGTATCAACAGTAGAGACGTTCAAGTTTTTAGGTTCTATCATATCTCAGGACTTAAAATGGACACCTAATATCACAAACGTCATCAAAAAAGCACAGCAAAGAATGTTCTTTCTGCACCAACTCAGAAAGCTCAAACTGCCCAAAGAGCTGCTGATTCAATTCTATAGAGGAATTATTGAGTCTGTCATCTGTACTTCTATAACTGTCTGGTTTGGCTCTGCAGCCAAACAAGACAGACAGACTTCAACAGATAATTAGAACTCAAGAAAAAACAGTTGCTACCACCCTGCCTTCCATTGAGGACCTGTATACTGCATGAATCAAAAAGAGGGCCGTGAAAATGTCTACAGGCTCCTCACATCTTGGACATAAATTGTTTCAACTTCTACCATGAAAACGACGCTATAGAGCACTACACACCGGAACAACTAGACATAAGGACAGTTTTTTTCAGAATGTCATCACTCTGCTAAACAACCAACTCCCACAACACTGTCAACTTACTTAATAAGATTATATTATTATTCTTGTCATCCTTCCTATTACCTATCTCTTCCCACTTGTATCATTATAATTTATATTGTTTTCTTTTCTTAGTATGTTTTGATTGCATATTAGTAATCTATGTATGATTTTATTGCTTATAGTAATCTATGTCCATTACTAAGTGTTGTATCTTACAATTCTTGATGAACGTATTTTATTTTTTCTTACGTACACTGAGAACATATGCACCAAAGACAAATTCCTTGTGTCTCCAATCACACTTGGCCAATAAAGAATCCCATTCCATTCTATTCTACTCTATTCAAGAATTCTTACAAAAGTGGGCAATTCAAGTGTAAAAAAAGATTTGATTACTAATTCATTTTTAAATATTTATTTTGCAATTCCTTGTTTTACTTTTTGTCTTGTTGCCTTAAAACTATATGACGGTATGTTTTCATTTCATTTTCACTTTTGACTATATTGGCTATATTGCATTAAAACATCAAATGTGACAAATACACAGTAAATACTACTAAATATGCTAGTTACTTAGAACACTATGTAATTATAAACAATGTAAGTGTCCTTAGAAATATCAAACAAATTTGGGATAATTTCTTTTAAAGAAAGATGAAAGCATTACACACAACATCTTGTCAGATTAAACAAAAAGACTAAGGCAGGAAAACAGTATATCCTAAGTACCTAGTTTAAAAACTGTCCTGACTTACCCTAATATCTTTAGGATGTTCTCCTTCTGCTATTCTTACCATCCACAAAAATTTGTTGATGTCATCACCAGAATAGCCAATTACACCTCCAAAGATTATTAAGACATAATCCACATCTAGGCTTTTCATAATCTCGTAGGCTGCTGTCTCATTTGATGACATAGCTTTTCCTACCTAGAATAAAAAATATTTTAAAATAAATATAAATATATTCTCCTTAAATTTACCTTTATTCTAGGTATTTTGAATTTGGTTAAGACTTCCGGCACTGTCGGAGGCAATGACAGCAAACTCTGCGGCTCTGCCCCAAGCTTTCCCATCAGAGCTCCAAAAGGAGCCACAGCCACTCTGGAGGGATGGTGAAGTAAAAAAAAAAAAAGGGGGGGGGGGGGCTTGCAGGTTGAGGAGAGCTGCCTCTCTCCTCCCTGACTTGGAAATTCTCCCTCATCCGAAGATGTGGAATAGTGGCAGCCTCTCTCCTCCCTGACTTGGAAATTCTCCCTCATCCGAAGATGTGGAATAGTGGCAGTCATTCAACATGGCTGCCATGAAGCTGGGAACAACCAGAATAGCCAAGACAGTGCACAAGCGAAGGGAACAGTGACTAGAAACTGAATTGCTGGGTCAGATGATTTTACTTCTTTAAAGGTACCCTAAGGATTAAAAAAAACCCTAGAGAATTTAATTATAATTATCCAACTGGTGGAAAAAAACATTTTAAAAGATGATTATGCTGAAAAGTAAGTTGAAATCACCATCTACTGACGGAAGGAAAAGTGATTCCTAGTCTCCTGGAAACCTATAAACTTATGCTCACCAGAGGTGGAAATAAGGGAAACATTCTATGAAAGAGATTCTGGAATGTTAGAATAAAAGACTAAAATCACAGAGCAGATTTAAAGAACTTGGAAAATATATTGGACTATCAAAGTACTGAGTAAATGTTGGAATTGCTCATTTAAACAATTTACTGTGTTTTGAAAGAAATAGAGACCGAATGAAACAAATACCTACTGGCGATTGAAGTGTGATTGTTTGTTCTACTTTTGTCACTATTATGGCTGGAGTTGAAGGAACAACTAGGAATGAGAGGATTTCTTGATTAGATGGCCTTGGTGTTCCAAAATGTTATTAATTTAGTTGATGGTTTGGACCAGAAAGTAGAAAACAGTTTGCAAAAGACATTGAATAAAGATCAAACTGCCCATGAATTAGTGGAAGCAACAGAAAGATTGGACTAAAAGGACCATTTAATTCAACAAATGGAATATGAACGGGGGGAAATAGGGAACAGAAAAATCAGCAAATAAAGCAACAGCATGATGAAGAGGAAGACCAGACAAAAGATAAGCAAAAGAAGCAGAAAGACCAGATAGACTGGTCACATCAGCAAAGAAACCAAGGACTGGAGCAAAAAATAGGATTGACAAATCACCTGACAAAGAGAGGACTGAAGCAAATAAAACAGACAAATCAACAACTGGAAAAACAAGAAGTTACCTTTGATAAGGAGACCGGGATATTTGCAGATATATATATTTCCTTAAGTTTTCACGGATATTTATAAGTATGGGATTCAGCTTTGTTCGGGTATTTTCCCATGTCATTATAGTTGTGCTTTTAAAGTTGTAGCAACATTCCGGCAGAATCTCATCTGCCATCATCAGGCTTGTGTATTGGGTTCGTCTGTGTGTCAGGCTTTCCCAGCCGTTTCTGTTTTAAATTTGGTGCTAGCCTTGTGCTTTGTTAGAATGGTTTTTTCTTCATCCTGATTGGTTGGGAGTCTTGGTCTGTGTTTATTGGTCTTGGAGTTTGCTGTGTTCTGCTTGATTGGTGTTTCTAATATCTTCTGTCTGTTTTGTAGCATTTTTTTGTCTTGATAAGCTGGCAACATTGTGTTTCGTGTATTGGGGGCTTTTAGCGTGGCTTAGCTTCGGGCGAATGGCTGGCTATTGTTTATTAGGAAGCTAGGTTTCATCTAGGTGGCTGGCTGGGGTGTATTTGGGCAGGAGGTATCGGGGGGGGGTCTGTTTGTGCCCAGGTGTTTGTTTGGGTTGTGGTGTGGAGATTTTTTTGTTTGAGTGCAGGCTTCCAGATAATTGACAGTCTGGTGGAGTCATCTCTTCTATTCATGCTTTCAGGTCATTTTTCAATGTCTATGGCTTCTCTGATAATTCTGTAGCTGGGGTTTTCTAGGTCTCTATTATGTCTCAGTGTGTTTTTGTGGATCAGGCCTGTGATTTTGCTTTAGTGGAAGCCATTGGCTACTTTGGTCAGGGTGCATAATTCAGTTTTTATGTACCTATGCAAGCCAAGCCTGCTAAAAGCCCCCAATACACGAAACACAAAGTTGCCAGCTAATCAAGACAAAAAAAGCTACAAAACAGACGGAAGATATTAGAAACACCAATCAAGCAGAACACGGCAAACTCCAAGACCAATAAACACAGACTAAGACTCTCAACCAATCAGGATGAAGAAAAAAACATTCTAACAAAGCACGAGGCTACCACCAAATTTAAAACAGAAACGGCTGGGAAAGCCTGACACATAGACAAGCCCAATACACGAGCTTGATGATGGCAGATGAGATTCTGCCGAATATATATACACACATAAATACATACATATATACATACACACACACACATACATACAAGAATTTAAGTCTGCATGGTTTTTTAAATAAACCAACTCTAGCTCCTTCAAGTTTAATAGAAACATTTTCCAGCTGTGAATTTGAAATTTGACAACTTGGATTTCAATTCCAAAGTTGCATACAAATATGTACATCAGAAAAAGTTCATGTATAGGAATCTGTACACCAATTAGCTGGGTTGGCAATATATAAACCAATAATGTATATTTGTAGCTTAAGACAAAGTCACTGTGTTGATTTATACTATATTCCGATTGGTTGATTGTGTTGTGAATTGCCATAAGAGAGAGCTAGAGATCATGGCTTGCTCTCTCTGACATGTTTCTCTCTCTGACCTTCTGTTTCTCTGACATTTTGTTGCTATCTCAGTTTGACTGAGAGTCTCTGTTGTGTTTATGCTGTGCTTATACTTTGATACCTTTGTTTACTGTAAATGACAAAGGCAACTGGTAAGAAGACTTTGTAATTGGATATTCTTTGGACTGTAAAACATATATGACCTGGACCGATTATTGGACTGTGCTATTTCTTAAAGTAAACTTTAACCCAATTTAGTGTATCTGTGTGTGGCTGGATAATTATTCATAACTATTCTCATAAATGTTTCCATGTGCATATCCTTGTTACTTAAGGGTTATTCTGTACATATCATAACATTGGTTATGGGCCCAGAGAGATATTGAGAACCAGTGTGAATATACAGTTTCATATTCAGCCAGCTGATTGCGGTTTATTTTTAAACTAACAATGGCACAAGAACGATCAACCAGTATATCCCCGATAACCTGGTTAGATGGAACAAACTATGTTTCCTGGTCTATGAAGTGCAGCCTACTTCTGTGTAAAGACGGATTATGGATTTTAGTTAATAGTCCACCGGATGTAACAGCTTGGGACCCATTGAATGATGAAGATAAAAAGAAAATAGCTGACTTTAACCGGGATAATGAAAAGGCTCTTAGTATAATTGGACTGACACTGAGTGTTCAGCAGTTAGTCCATATTCGTAGTGAAGAATCTGCTGTTAGGTGTTGGGACATTTTGAAGAGGATTTATGTTCAAGATAGTTTGAGTGCACATATACACCTTACACGTAAACTGTTTAGAGCCTGTCTTATAAAAGGTGGTGATATGTTAGCTTATTTGGAGTTTATGGAAAGGACTTTACAAGAGCTACATGAAAAGGAGCTGATTTTCTCAGAGTTGCATCAAGTTTACATCATTCTTTCTTCTTTAGATGAAACTTATGGTGACTATATGTCTTCACTGGAAGTTTTAAACAGAGATGAATTTACATTGACTGGCATAACTGGAAGACTGTTAGAAGAGTCAAGAAGAAGGCAAGTAGAAATGAGCTGAAAGAAAGATAACCACAGGAAGTGGTTAACCACACTGTCTTCAACTGCCTATATTGTTAGGAAATGTTTTTATTGTGGAGCTAAAGGTCATATAGCCAGATACTGTAAAAAGGATAAGAAACATGGACACTTCCGGTTGTAAGGCTTCGGCGGCGGCAGGAATCCGCTTCTCTGCGGGTCCCTGCTGCACTCGCCGTCAAGGTACCCCCAATCCAACTGGATTTGGGGGTTGTCGCTGCCCTGAAGGGGCAGCGGAAGACAGAGGAGATCCAGGCAGGGGTCTGGGGACATCGCACCCCCCTTCCCCAGCCGGCTAGACTCCTTTTTCCCGAGACGGATGAGCGGCTGTCTCCATGGCAGCCATAAAGGATTCTTCAACCGGATAAGTTTGCGCAGGAGGAAGTCTTAGAAGAAGTTCTCTTGGCTAAACCACGACATTATGTTACTTTTAAAACACCCTGGAAACCTGACTTTGGATTGATTCATTTGTTTCCAAAAGAATCTGTTACATCGGCGAAAGTGCTGAAGGAAAGTTCACTCCCCCTCCCTACGGAGAAAGCAAAGGAGCACAGAAAAACTTGCTCTCTAAAGGTAAAAATAAGCTCTTTGTTATAAGTGGGAAGGGGAGGACTAAAAAAAATATTTTTTTAAAAACTTTGCTGGAGGAGACGCCTTGAAGATTACAAGACCATTAATTAATGGTAATACGGCTTTTAAAATATATCTGGGATTTTGCCTCTGGAGAAAAAACTGTAAAGAGAAGAAGAGGAAAAAAGTTTTGTTTGTTTGGATTGTTTGATAACTCTGACATTTGGAAACTACTTCAAGATTGAAAGCATCTGGGTTGTTGTTTTTTTTAAAAAAAAAAACCTATAATGGTACCACCGGTTGATGAACTGAAAATGGAATATGAAAAATTAAAAGAAAGACAACAAAGTGGCAAGGACTCTTTGGGAGCTGCCTTCCATTTTTTAGAAATGGCGGTTTATATGTACCAGCAAACACTGGAGGAAGGAGAAGGAGAAGAAGAAGAAGAAAAGAGAAGCCATCTTTAATGGACTAAAAAGTTTGATTAAGAAAGAAAATGGGAAGGGAGGAAGGGAAAAGGAGAATTTAAGATTTAATAAAACAACCAAGAAAAAGAAAAATAGGGTGAA